TACCCCATTCTTTCAGCACCATTTGTTGGGAAGACTTCCTTTTCCCCATTGAAATAAGATTGATTTTATTTGTGAGTTGATCATTTCATTTCTCATTGTTGTAGAAGTCTAACTGTATGCCAGTAATACAATAATCTCGATTATTGTAGCTTTATAGCAAGGCCAAGTAATATGAGTCCTTCACCTTGTGACCTACTCTGCATCCTTTGCGCTTATGTGTAAATTTTGGTTTCAAATTGTTAATTTCTGCAAAAATGTTTATTGGGATTTGGTTTAGATTACATACAATCTTTAAATAAATCTAGAAAGAATGTAGATCTTAACTTTTAAATTGGCAAACATGATGAGTATCTCCCATTTCTTTAAGTGTTCTACAACTTCTCTTAGAAATGTTCAATGATTTGGTGTATAAGCCTTGGATTTCAATTTATCCCTAAATATTTTGTGTTTTCTGATATGCATTTCAAAATATTTCATTTTCTAATTGTTTGTTGATAAAAATAGAAATAAAATTGATTTTTGTAATTTTACCTGTATCTCACTAGTGTCACTAATTAGTTTTAGAAACTTTTCTGTGAACTCCTGATATTTTTCTGTATACGTACTTAAGTTATGTGGGAATAAAGACTATTGTACCTCTTCCTCTTATGCCTTCCATTTCTTTTTCTGGCTTTATTTCATTGGCTAATGTCGCTAGTAAAACAGAGTGGTTACTCTTGCCCTGTTCTTGATTTTATTTGGAAAGTGCTGTAGATATCTCTTATCAGAATAAGATATTCATTTATGTTCTTAAATTACTAAGAATTTTTATTATGAATGGGTGTTGAATTTTGTCAAACACTTTTCCTATGTGAATCCATGTGTTCCTTGTTTCCTCTACTTAATCTGTTGATATGATAAATTACATTGTTTGATTTTATAAGTGTGAAACAAAAATTGCATTTCTGGGACAAATATCAAGTATGATAAACCAGATTATACTTTTTATACATTACAGACATTGATTTGATGACATTTATTAAAGACTTTTGCATCTATGTTCATAAGAGATATTCTGTATATTTTGTTTTTGTAATGTGTGATCAACCTTCTTTGGGTATTTTAGAACTTATTTCCTGTGTAAGTCAGAGTGAAGCCTAACTTTTCTCTATTTCCATATTTCTTTCCATATGGATACCCCATTCTTTCAGAAACATTTGTTGGGAAGACTTCCCTTTCTCCGTTGAAATAGGTGTGATTTTATTGGTGAGTCAATAATTTTGTTTCACATTGTTCTACAAGTCTATCTGTACGCCAGTACTACACAATAATCCTGATTATTGTAGCAATTTAACAAGATCAGATCCTAGACCCACTCTTCTAAATTGTTTGGCCAGTGTAGAATCTTGATTTTAGCAATTCTTGATAAGAAGGACAAGACTGAGGGTCTTGTATCAAGCTATTTAGATTCATAGGACACTAACTGAAAAAATTCAAATTTATTTAATTTCAGGGAGAAATTATAGCAGGCATTATTATTTGTTTCCTTAATCTTATGTCTCTCTTTTGCTGGTGCAGTCTGTGTGGCTATCTGCGGAAGGGTTTGGGTCTCTTTTACTTTTAGGCCAAATGTATCTGAGTCTCCTTGAAACCATATTTAAGAGTTTGGTTCAATTGAAGGTGCATAGCAAAAGATGGAAAGACCTGAGTTCTTGAAGACTCTAAGGCACTGACTTCACCAACCCATGTTGATTGTGAGATAAATCCCTTAATTATTGAAGCCATTTTTATTTGCATTTTCTGTTGGTTTTTTTAAAGATCAAAACAAGCATTATCCTTACAAAAATATATCTAATATAAAAGCAAGTTTTATAATTTAGTTACAGGAACAAAAAAAGTAAAAGTTTTTTTTATTTTTTATTTTTTATTACCTTTGAAATGTTTTGGAGAGGAGGAAAGAAATGTATTAATGGGGCCTGCACCCCAGTGTGATAGCTTGATGAATTGTCCTTTTACATTCTAGGGATACTGGAGAACTTGGAGTGGTAATCAAGCATCTAAACATCTTGCCAAGTAGGCAATCCAAGAGACAGGCTGACAAATTTTTCATCAGTTTCTTTCGCATTTTTAAACTCCAGGCTGATCACACTTCTCTTTGTGTTTGCCATTGCAAAATCAGCAGCCTCATTTTCAAAACACCCTTAGGACATGTTATAATTTCTATGATTTCAAATCACCTTGTATTAGTTATATTTTAGCCTGCTAATGCTCATGCAAGGGTCTCATTAATTATACCTAGAAAGGCTGAGAACCGGAGAGAAAGAAGGCTTTAGCAAGCCAAAGTAACTGCTGACAGGAGCTTTTGGGGGCAGAGAAAGTTTGAAAGGGCAAGTTTGGAGTTGGTTATTCTTCACAAGAGACAGGAACAAAGGGAAGACTTTTGTGCAAAGGATTAAGGCAGCCGCCTCCTACTGGGATCTCAACCTCATGTGGTCTATTCAGCACAGCCACAGAGACCTTGTTAAACCAGAGTCAGGTTTAGTTACTCCTAATGGCTTCCCACCTCATTCAGTGTGAAAATAAAATTCCCTACAGTGGAATTACTGATGTAGGCCCCTTCTTTCCCTAATGTCTATTCCCTCCTCTAAGTTTCCTCCCCTTATTCCCTTTCCCCTAAAACTTGGGGCAAGGCCAGATCCCAGGCTTGGCTTTTGCTTGTCCCTTTGCCTGGGGTTTCTTCTTCCAAATATTTACTTGTCCTGTGTGCTGAAGTCTTTCTTGGAATTTCACCCCATGGAGACTTTTTCTTCTCAGACCAACACTTTATCTTCCTTCATTGTCTTATGTTTTCCATGGTATATATTTATCATGTCTTTATAAATATTTAGTTAATTAGAAACAACAATATAAGTCAAATGAGAGCAAGGATTTTTATGTTTTTCTTCAGGGTCTCACTTTTTGGAAAAGTTAACTGTGCAAAGAATGCTGGCCCCTTGAATGAAATAACTTGAACTCTTGAATCAACAGACCCATGACTATGCTACAGGGTGAAAGTTTGGATTTGAGGTTGATCCATTTAGGGTGAATTTAAAAAAATATGTTCTAATTAAATGTTGGTGTAAATGCTGGGTTGAATTAAATTATGACTGATCTTAATCTCATAGATTTCTAGTTATTGAACTAAATACTCTCTCTTTAATCTTTCTTTGTATTTCTAAAATACAATGATAAATAACGTTGGAGTTTCTTAATCTTGGCCCTATTAACATTTTGGTGAAATAATTCTTTGTTGTGGGGGTCTGTCCTATTTGTTGAAGGATGTTTAGCATCATCCCTGGTCCCTACTCACTAGACCTAGGGCAACCACTTCCCCCAAGTTACGACAACCAAAAATATCTAGAAGCACAGTCAAATGTCCCCTGGAAGGCAAAATGACATCCCAGTTGTAACCACTGATGTAATTTTCCTACATACTTATTTGAATAAAGGGCCATCTTTTATATGGGTGATTTTTTATATAACATATATAATTCAGTAAAATTATATGTGTTAAATATAATTTACAAATTATGTGTGTTAAACATAATATAAAAAACCAATAAAGGTTTTTTTTTTATATAACACATATAATTAAGTAAAAATCATGGGACTCTCATGCTTACTTTATCAACCAAATAGATGATTACCATAATCAAACAAGCATGGTTCGCCTAACTGGTAGCACCATGTTACATTTGTAGATGTTGAGATATAGTTTAGGTGGAAAAAGAAATTGGATAACCCTTTGTTTAATGTTCTGGAAACTTTCCCCTTATGGCATGTTGGTAAATGCTGAGACATCTTTTATAATCAAGGGTCTGGGGAAAATGCTAATAAAAATGATAATGTGCATTCCTCTATGATTTATACAGGAGAAATTAGATTAAAACAAATATTGGTTATTTTATGGGAAAAAATGAAGCACAAAAGGAAGATGGGTAACCATAAGTCTGTGTGCAGAAGGACAGAGGACGGAGCATAGCTTCCTCATTTATTTATTCCATTTGTGGATTATGTGTGATAGTGACAACCTAAAGTTGTAGAGGTAAATTTCTGGTGCCTCTCCCTTTGAAAAAAAAAAAAATCATTGCTTGATTGAGTAAAAGCTTTATTTGTAGAACCACTTCTTTGACCCCCCAACTCCCAAGCTAATTACTACAAAACAATGAACTCTCATTTCAAAGTTTAGGGACGGTTTTAAGTAAGTGCAAATTTTAAGAATAACATAGATATCAATTTGAAATGAAGGAATGTAAACTCAGAACTATGAGCAACCTAAGTGCATTTTCCAACCAGTTCGGGGTGGATGCTTTTAAAGGATAAGCTGAAAAATAAAAATAAGTAAGAAGAACAAGCAAAGGAGCGGGGGAAAAAAACTGATAAGTGGCAGAAGTAGCTCAAAATTTACATTTTGAAAATGTGTGGGGGAAATTTGTGCTATACTTCTCTATAATTTTACACAATCCCTTTAAAAATGTTACCTGTGTCATTAATATTTATCTATGTGTGACTCAGTTCTAAATACATTACCCCAGTGTCTTTCTTCAAGAGAAGGAGATGGAAATTCCAGAAAGGCATGAAGCCCAGCCTCTGAGTTTTACATACTCAGAGTTTGAGCTACCTCGATGAATCCCCTAAATTGTTAGGTGTCAAAAACATGTCATTAAGTAGGTCACTAAAGACATTGAGGGAGCCAAAAAAGGAAAGAGCCCCCTAAAGGAAAATGACACTTAATTGGGAACTTGCAGACATCTGTCACTCTTTGTGACAATTGAGGAAAAGTACCTAGCACAATTTTTGGAGTGCAGGTGACGAAGTTTCGAAGACGAAACTGACAGCGGGGGGGTACCTGCCATTTGTGACATAAGGAGAGCCTGCTTTGGAAAAGCATGCTTTTTCATCCTCTATGTTACTTTAAAAATTGCGTGGCGCTCAAACCGTAATCTATTATGCCATCAGTTGTCCATTTAAGATAGAATGTCCCCATCCGAAGAATAGATCATGCATAGAGTTTGGAAAAGAAATATTGTGGTCCGTCTGTTTGCTGAAAACAAAACAGTGTTCCGTCCCCTGCCGCCTTGGTTCAAATCCGTTTTCTTGCTCTGCAGGGAGAGGCTGCCCCCGGAGTATTCTGCTTTTAATAAGCTTCCCAATCAGCTCTCGCGTGCAGAGCGCTCTCCCCCCTCGCCCAGCCCGCGTCCTCCCTGCCCGCTCCTCTCATCCCTCCCATTCTCCATTTCCCTTCCGTTCCCTCCCAGGCAGGGCGTAATTGAGTCAAAAGCAGGATCAGGTTCCCCGCCTTCCAGTCCAAAAATCCCGCCAAAGAGCCGGAGAGCAGAGCAAAACCCAAAGTGGAGAGAGGGGAAGAAAGAGCCCAGTGAGTCATCGTCCAGAAGGCGCGCGGAGCCGCAGCCACCCAGCGGGAGCAGCCGGGTACCTGGACTCTGCAGCCGCGAACCTCGCCCCTCGCGACCAAGCCAGCCCGAGCGCGTCAGAGGACGTTTGCAACTCAAAGTAAGTGAGAGGGAACGTGTGATTTCTCCGAGGGGTCTCCGGTGGAGTTTGTCTTCAGCCGGTGACACTTTTCCGGTGCCCGCAGATGAGGGTGGCACAGTGCGAGACACGCTGCCTCAGGTCTTTGCATTCAGAACTGCCTTGCGCCAGACGCAAACGGAGGCATATTTAGGGGGAGCTGGATCAGGTTAGTTGGGGTGTGCTTAGGTGAGTGGACGGGGAGCTTTTGTGGTGTCAAGCATGCGTTTGGACGGTGTTGCAGCTCTCAGCCCGACACAGACAGGGCGGGCTGGAGCGCGCATCTTTGCTCCTGCAGAACGTGGAGCTTTGGTAGGTGTGTCTGTGGCGGGGTAGTGAAGAGAGAGAAAGTAGGGCTGCCCGAGGGAGCAGGTCCCCGGGGCTGCCCGCTGATGGCTTCGCTGGGTTTCTAGGTAAGACGTGGGCGCTGGGTCCTGCCAATGCTGGCTGACACTGAGCCTTTCTGGCAAAACTGCTGGGTCCTCCTCCCGCCTGATAACCCAGGAACGGTTCCAGAAATGGTTACTTAGAAAGTTTAAAAGACACACCTTGAATGCCATCTGTCTTTTGATCGCTGATTTGAGGAACTGCCCTGAACACCGGCACTGAAGCTTTTGATTTCACCCCCACATGAACTTACGGTGTATTTGTTACTAATTTGCCGGATGCTTAGAATTTTGTTTATCTAGTAAGTTAAAAAAATATTTTTTGAGAAGAATTGATTCAATTCTTCCTTAATACACAGAACTTTAGACTCCCTCTCTCCTTACACACACACACACCCCCTAACTTTTCTCTGACGCCACACACACACACACAGGCACACACTTGGAGGTTCCTGACACTCTATTGTTAACTTACCCTGTCTCTGTTAAGAGCTGCTTTGTAAGTTTGGCGATACCACTGAGACATAGTAGTGGGGTGAGGGAAGCTGAGAGGAGAGAATAAATAACCGGGGGAAGTGCCAAAGTTCTGGGGTTTTAATATCTCTCATCTTGAGGGTTACCAGGCATTTTCTTGAGAAAGGGGTGGGGTGTGTGTGTGTGTGTGTGTCCCGCGCACTCCTGGGCATGTGTGTTGGAGGGAAGGGCCTGGGAGGAGATTTAGGAGCTCCCCAAAAGAGCTTTTGAACAATCCCCAAAAGAGCTTTTGAACAATAATGAAGCAATTTCGTGTCCTAGACAAATGTGGAACTGATGAACCAGCAGAGCTCACTTGAGCTCCTTGATCATCTGAGAAAGAATTGCTAAGTAGAAATATTTAAAGGTACTGGGAATGAAACAAAAGAGAAGCCTTCCAACAGAGAAAGCAAAGCTTGTGTTTTCCATCTTTTTTTATGTTCCTTTTGAAAATTATGTACTTTAAAGACCAAACCATTAAAAACATTTACAGTCTAGTGAAATTCAAAGGAAATTAGAGTGGGCAGTATCCTTCGCTCTCCTTTGGGGCTTGAGTTACTTCAATCTGTCAACATTTATATTTTCTCATTTAAATTGGAAGATGAAACGTTTTTTAAATGGCATTCTTTTGTACTTTAAGAAACTTTTGTCCATTAAGCTCTCTAATAGTACTTTAAACCATTAGAAGGTGAACTTTCCCTGCCACTGCTCACAGACCCCTTTGGGACATTTTCCCCTGAAAAGCCTCTGTAAAGAACACCCACCTTAAGCCATAAGCACATAACCCACAGGACAAAACCTCACAGGTGCTGTGTGCCAGCTGTTTGCTTGCAATTACAGATGTACTATGTTCTCAAAGCTATGACTGCAAGAGAAATGAAGCCACTGTTAATATATGGCTGTTTAATTATCTGACGTTAAATGAGGTATTGTGGAGAATGAGAATTATAAAAAAACATTAACTGTGTGGCCTACTATATTAGAGATCCCCAGATAGTTTAATTGCTTTCTTTGAAAAAGTCAGTATTAGAAACAAAATATTTTAAGCTTAAATGTTCTAGTTCCCTTTAAATAACTATTTTGTTCTAGTTCCTCACTTAAATGGCATTTTATATGAATTCTGATTATATTCTTATTTTTGATGTAGTGTTTTTATTACTATTTAAAATTTCTCCAGGAAACTGAGTTTATCTGGCTTGTTCAAAACAGTGTGATATTTTGACGATAGATGAAAGGCCAGAAGTTGGAATTCAGAATACAAATTTCAGTTCTTGAAACGCTTATGCATTTTGATATGGTGGCATAGTGATGAACGAAATCGTCCTTGACTTGTCTCCTGAAAGTGATGCCCAAATTGAGACCATCCAGGGGAAGCAGCGTGACCATGAACAGCACCCTCACTGCCCCTCAGGTCAGAAGCAGCAGGCTGAGGAGAGCTCTGCAACCTTTGTTCTATCACCTCGCTGGTGATGCTGAGCTGGGCTTCTCTGTAAGGGTGAAGAATGTTCATTCCTCTGACAGCTAAGGAACAATCGAAGAGTTTCTGTCGCCTCCTGGCATTAGGCCATGGCATTGCCCTGGGAGGGGTGGCAAAGTAACATTCAGATTTGGACGTTATGAGCTGGACTCGCTTTTTCCCGTCCAGAGTCAAATGGCTTGAGTGGAATTTGGGCCATGGCCTGAGTTTGGAAAGTTGTCCTCCATTCTTGATGGTTATGGTCATTGAATTTCCACCCACTGGGCCATTTTCCCGTCTACTTCAAGCCAGCCTTATATGTGGCATAGTTTTCATGGTGTCATTACAATATTTCAAGATTGTAAAATATAATATGCCTTTCATTCCTTTCTATTTTAGCATTTCAGAAATAAGAAGTTAAAAGTTCCATAGCTTAAAAAAAAAAGTTTCATAGCTCAAAAGGGTGGCTATGATGAAAACTTGTCTGAGGGTATCATAATTAGGGTAACAGTATAGATTTAATTATGTAGATCCCTAGTTCTTAAGGGGAGGCAAGGAATACAGGGAATCATTTATGCTTAAGCTATTTTGAGAAATAAGAAATGAATTTCTTCTACTGGGCTTTATTTTTTTGAGCCATTTCTTTACAGTAGGTTTAAAGAAAGTGACATCTCAAATAGGAAAAAAAATTGTCACAGTTTGAGTTTTCTACAAGCAGAATTCATATTTTTTTTGCGTTCATACATAGCATCACCAAAAAAAAAGAAACTATTGCATTATATTAAGAAAGAAGTGAGTCATTATAGCTGATAACTGAGATCTTCATTCAAAGAATTGCTCTTAGCAAAAACCAAAAGATCATTTAAAAACACAAATAGCATTCGATGGCTCTAAGCCTTCGTTCTCATTTCTTCCAACTCTTCCACTTCCCAGTTTCCTCCCCTTCACTCCCATTTCTCCCTTTTATGAATCTAGTTGCTATTATTTTCCATCTAACATGTTCGAGGATGACTTGCCCAATTCCCTCCTCATATGATGGCCTGTATTTCAGGAATCTCTGGCCAAATCTTGGCATTCGTGGAAGGCATTCATGACACTTTTCCACTGAAATCTGTTTTCAAGGCCAATAAGCTCTCTACCCACTCAGCCAGATTTTTCCTTGTATTGATTTAGACGCTGGCTAAGTTAGGTCAGCTTACACTTTCATCACTGCAACAAATACTGACTTAATTCTCCTCTCAGGGCTCCCGCATCAATGTATGGGCACAGCTAGGGTTGCTCACCCCCACCACACACTTCCGTGTCCTGCACCAACAATAGAATTGCTATGGCCGATTTGACAACATTTATTACAAGGATGTGGAATGCCTAATACTGTGCTGAGCAAGGCAGCACATTTAAGAAATACATCGTGGTTTCTTTCTTCTAGAGGTTCATAGTTTTACAATTTTAAACACTTTGTGTTTGGTCAGTGGTACTAACTTACGAGATTCTTTGTTGGAAATGTATGTATCATTTAATCTCAAATGATTAAGCTCCACTATCCCTCCACCTATCTCTGGAAAAAATATGTTAAAGATCCCAGATCGTTCCAGTGAAATCCATAATTTTGTATTTTTCTTTCTTTTCCTCAGGTTATTAGCTTAATTATTTTCCAACTTTCTTGTCTACTCTTTTTTTTTTTTTTTGCCTTATTCCCTTTATCCTCCCAACATGGATGTTTATTTCCAAGTATTTCAGTTTTCTTTCTCTTTTTCTCTCTTTAATGCCTTGATATTGTCACAACTCTTCTAAATTTCATTGAGAAAACTCTCGACTCTTTTCATTTTCGCTGCGGTTCTGTAGACTCCCATTTAAAATTTTTTTTGAAGTAAATACTGAAATGAATCATTTGGGCATAAGGATTGGGGGGAGGAGACTTTCTGTTATTTGACTTGTATCCATAACAGACGTCTGTGATAGTGGCTGCCCTACTGCGCGCCAAGTAGTGTAACAGGTGCTAAGAAGATGAAGGCCTCTTCAGGCAGCTGTGTTCTCCCCAGTGCTTATGCAGCAACGTTAAGACACTAATTACTGCAAGGCAAGTTGCAGTAAGATATGTATGATTTTTGACCTAATTAGTTCCAATGCCAAATGGATCACATTTTTATGAGAAAAAGCAAAGTGGGGTATACAAAAGGCTGAATGGTACACAATATTTATTTTAAAAAATTTTTTGTGGTTGTTGCTTAAATGTGGTTTATTCTGGGGGAGACATTGAACTCTCAATTCCTTTATGTTTTCATTTGATATTTGCGACATGATAGAACAGAAAAAAATTATTGGCAGTAATATCTTAAGAAGTCAGTCTGAGTTTATGTAGAATAAATAGAATTTTAAAGGCATGGCCTAGGTATCCTTTTCAGGAAAATGTATCCTAGACAAGAGGTGACTGTCCTTCAAAGAAGACATCCACATGGAGGGGAAGAAAAATCCTTCTACTCCCGCTGTGCAATTTGAGTGATATCCTAAATGAATCAGAATTTGGAGGCACCAAATGTTTTCGGAGGCCAATCCTCTGTCTAGGTAGAGCTGTAGTTTGCCCCTCCTATTATCTTTTAAGCCTTCCCATCGTCACCCCTTGCAGT